TTCTTTCTTTCTTTCTTTCTTTCTTTCTTTCTTTCTTTCTTTCTTTCCCCAGTGCTTAGTAATGTGCCTGGAGACATAGTAAGTACTTAATAAATGCTTGTTGATTAATTAATTGGTAATCTAACTTAAATATACAAAGCATCACCAATTTCTTTGTGATCTGAATTTTCTTTTGTTTTTATGTGAGGAAATTGGGGTTGTGTCTTGCCCAGAGTCACACAGCTAATGAGTGTTATGTGTCTGAGCTTGGTTTTGAACTCACATCCTCCTGACTCCAGGGCCGGTGCTCTATCCACTGTGCCACCTAGCTGCCCCTGAATTTTCTTTTCTTTTGCCTCATTAAAAATGAGATGTTTACATGTTAAGTGTTATTAGGTGGTTAAAAAAGATATATAATCTTTTAAAAGGGCAAATATTTTGTTTTATTTCAACCAGACATAAGGGTAATTAATGCAAGGACCTAAGATTAATGTGATCCTAGGTGCATGACTTTATTTATCAAATCAAGAGTCTACTTGGATAAATTGCCAAAATTGAGTGTATACTTAGATAATTCTACCAATGGCGAGCATCACTTTAAGAGAATGTCTTCATTTTACATTTGCCACTTATTGGCCCTGGGACACTGACCATTGACTGCATTTCTTTTCTTCTTTTTTTTTGACATAATGAAATTCCTTGCTATCAAATAAAGTGAGTAAATTTACCACTTGGCTAATGTGTTCTGAAAATGAATTCAATAAATTCTCTATAATATCTTCAGCTTTGGAGGCAGATATCTTGCAAATTCAAAGCTAAATTTTAGCTCCATCATTTAAAAGGGTGTATGACCATCAAAAACTCACTAAACCTTTTTTGTGATTCTGTTTCTTCATAAGTAAAATGGAGATTATACTTATAATGCTTCAAGGAGCTGTCATGAGAAAAATATTTTGCAAATTGTAAAGCACAATGTAAATAAGTCAACATCATCATAAATAGCTAAATAACTTGGAGTTCTGATATCAAATTATATTGGTGAAGAATACTGTGAGGCAGTGTAGGTCAAATACGCTGACCATAAGATTTTTATGCATCATCACATCATATATATTTATCTGTTAATTATAACACAATTTTATATAGAATGATACAACAATGAAAGGACCAGGCTAAGGGATCAGGAGACCTGGTTCTGTCATTGAACTATCAATAAATTGATAATAAGCACTTATTGAGCTATCAAGAAGTTATCCACAGCTATTAACTGTAACCTCCTGAGCTCCTTTTTTCTCATTTGAAAAATGAGTTGTTGGATTAGTTAATTGCCATAGAAAACATTCTGATAATTAATGTTATTATTAGATTGTATTATTCTATATTCTCTTAACTGACTTAAGATGCTATTTAATTACATTATTAATTCTATATTTTTATCCTTCCTTTCCTTATTATTTGTATGTATATTTGCTTTGCTTGGAGTTAATATTATCATTTTCAAGTAGCATTTTCAAGAAAATGCTGGATTAATTGCTTATTGGACTAGTAGAAAACATCATGGCTTGATACATACGTGATTTTAACTATTTTCATGTAAGCTGTATCTTTGTGTTTTTACAAAATTTTTAATTGATTTTCTGTCATCTATTTTCAATGCATTTTTGGGACATAGAATTTTCTTCTGCAATTTTGGTGATAACAACAACAATAACTAACATTTACGTAGTATTTTAAGATTTGCAAAGTGCTTTATAAGTAATAGCTCATTTTGTCCTCACAACAGCCTTGGAAAGTAGGTGCTATTATTACCCCCATTTTACAGATGAGGAAACTGAGGCAAGTAGCAATTAAATGATCATGTTCCAGTTCATACGGTTAGTAAATGTTGGAGGAAGGATTAATCTCAAATTTCCCTAACTTCATGTCCAGTGTTCTGGGCAAGTTAATATTAGCTATGTAGAACAATCCACTGGTGAGAACACTGGGTCTGTCCAGAATCAGGAGGCCTGGTTCTCATAGTGCTTCTGCTACTAATTAATACAAGTATGTGTAGTGAGTTTCCATTTATTTTGATACTGAAATTCAATGAATAGCATTTATTTCTACTACTTAGAAAAGTATATTATGTCCTTTATTTGAAGAATGTAGTTAAATTTCATGACAAAAGTATAACCACATTAAAACACACACACAAACACATTACTCTACAAAGATACAAGTTCATACACATATAACACCTAGCCAAATCCTATTACTTTAAATATTTTATATGTTAAATATTCACCTTCTTAGGCAATGTAAAAATCCATTACTTCCAGAAAGAACTAAATGAGCAGCAGAGTATTTTAACTTTTCTTTGTAAAACTTTTGACTAAGTCAACTTATTTACTAACCTACTGGGAGTTACATAGGAATTTACATTAAAAATGAGCTGATGTTTACAGTTACACTATTGTTCCCCTCGATGCATTAATATTAAAGGTAGCACTATCCAATTTAACGTTCTAATGCAAGCAACATGTGCTTTCCTGCAGTCCATTAACCTTTAATACTTTTCACTCAGCTGCTTACAAAGAAGAATTAAAAAAAATCTATGGAGGAAACGAGGTTACTTAGAAAGAATCAAATGTATAATTTTACATTCCAAGTCATGGATAGAAGGCAATTTTTACATAATTTAACTATCAATGCTGGAAGGATAAAGTTTATAGCTAGTACAACCCACTTATTAAATTAATAAAACTTTATGTACAATAATTACCAAAGCCACCTATGATTATTTCATTGTCATGAATTTAAATGTGAATTTTAACAAGTTATCCAAAATACACAAAATTATATTTTAATTACAACCTTTTTGTAGAACCAGTTATAATTCTTAAAAACATAGATTTATGACTACTAGGTTTCTCTTTAAAAAGGGAAGTACTTTTTTTTTCTTTTTACTTTGTAAAGTAACATTTATGATTCTAAGTATTTTAACATCTGCAGCTACTGTTGCATTTACGGGGCTTATTCATGAGAAAGTATGATGAATATGCCAATGTGTACATAACAACATGAGGTTAAGGCTTTACCTGACCCAGTAAAAGTGTCAAGCGCTCCATCTCCAGTTGTTGTGGTTGTTTCATTGTTGTTCATGGGCTCTGTTTTGACTGCAAGAAGAGACACTATGTAGAAGAATAAGCAGACATGAGTTTTACTTCTAAATTTTCACATACAATCTCATCCCAGTTTGACAGTGAGATTTTCTAGCTAACATGTACGTGCAAAGGGGAAAAAAGTAAGTATATGATAAAGTCTTGTTAATTTATCTTCTAAAGCATGCATTTATATGTAAAATTTAATTCAAAACACTTTAGCTAAACTAATTACCTCAAGAACCTGGCTTTAAAAGGTAGCTAATTTTAAGTAAAACAGAATTATACACAGTTTAATTCTTAGCTCAACCACTGACAAGCCGGTTTTGTAGTTAAGAGACTGAAGAAATATTTGGTCACTCCTCTCTATTCAATCTTACTCATGATCAAAAGGTATTCTTTGTTCTTTCCAATAAGCCTGTTAAAAAGCACAATAATAAAACAAGACTATGTAAAATTGTTGAACTGAGGACTAAGTGATGCAGTAGGTAAGAAATTATATTCTATTTCCTGTTTCTAGCAGAGACTAAGCAGTCACGTACTTTCATAACAAATTCCAAATAGTGATGTTTAGATGTGATATACAATTGTGCACATCCTGGTATATCATTTCTATACGGGTATATGATTTGGAAACTTCTGTTGTATGGGTGTTAAGGTCTATCACAGATTACCAGCTCTATCGATTTTATTTATTGGACAAGAATATTAAAGCCAATGTATACATTGCATTGAAGTGTAAAGATTCTGTCGTATTCTTCCTATTGTAGAAAAGATACTGGAAAATGTCAAGGCAGAAAGGATAGAAATTGAATTCTTTGCGAATTATTTCGCATTTAGCATCCCTTGATATGATTGTGTTACAAAGTGAATAATATGGTTTAGCAGCAGCAATAAATTCTGGAAATGCAAGGTGAGAAATAGATTAATATGACCAAGTATGTGGGAAAAAAGCATGCAAGGTGTCATTGCTGACCACAGACTAAACATATATGCATGGCTATTCTATTAGAAAAGTAATCATAATGGGATGCACATAGCAGCAATTAGGCAATCCTTTCAAAGAATCAGAACTAATCAGATCAATATTTGGGTAAGAAGAAAACTTGTAGAAGATCCTGCTTCCGTGGTCTCTTTCTCTAATTCACTAATTTCTCTCAGAATCTCTGTTGGGAAAGTATCCAATTCAGTCATGCCTTCATTTCTCTCTGGGCTCCACTTTTAATTATCCAGACTTTCTCCAACATGCCAATGAGGATGTCTTCTTCCCTTCCCCCAATTTTTCAGTTTCTTTTTACATTTTGTCCTCCTTACCAGAATATAAACTCCTTGAGGGCAAGGACTTTCTTTTCTTTTTGAGGGCAGGGATACAATTTTCAGGAACAAATGAGATTTACATTTTTGAGGATAATGACTCTTTTCATCTTCATTAAAGATTCAACAATGATGGAAACACAGAATACATGGTCAGAAAAACTTTCCTGATCACAAAAACTGTTACATATTAGAAAATGTAACTGGGTTTTTTTTGATAACTTCATCTTGAGATGTTTAAGAGGAAGTCAGATTGATCAAGCAACAGTTTAGTTGTGATTCTACCTAAATGCTGGTATTTCCAATTAACTAGTATATTCAGCTATATGGACTAACCCTGAGGACGTGCACAGATGGACACATACAGACGGAATGCTGTTTTCTTTGAGGCAACATACTCTTCAACTTTTGATATTTGTGATTAGCAAAACCTGGTCAAGAAATGTCACCCAGGAATTTTTAATTGTGTACGAGAGGGATTGGAACAAAAACCACTTATGGCAATCAGCCTCATTCCTATAGGCACATCTTATACTTTACTTTCTTATGGAGCTTATAAAATAGCAAGATTATATATTTGATTATGCTTCCTTTCTTAACTGCACATTACTCATGTACTCATACTAGTTACAAGGCACCTCCTCCAAATAATCAAGATTATATATGGTTAATTGTTTTTGGCCAAAGATGATTCATTATTACAGGGGAGGAATGGTGCCTGTGGACACAATCTTAAGCAGCAAAATGCCAAGATATATTCATTATACTGAAATAAATGTGTGTCTTTCAAAAGTATCAAAAAATTTTAAGCTGCAGTTATTAATTTGTTCTTTGAAACTTACCAGAATTATAGGACTAGACAGAGATCATCTAATTCTACCTTTCTTTAATACGTGGAAACTTGAAATCTAGTCCAAAGCTATCACAGATATTATGGTCTATAATGACTGTTGACATATCAGGAGGATTGTCAAAGTTAAATTTTATTTTAAAAACAGTGGAATAACTATACTAAAGAGATTAATTTAATGGTGAGGGTGTGGAAGGAACTCTTTCTCTGTATCTATCTATCTATCTATCTATATATATATGAATGTTTTATATTTCTGTATATATACACATGTATGTATTTGTGAATATGTGTGTTATAGATATAGACATATATGTATATAGGTATGTGTTTGCATATATGTGTACATATCTATCACATAGATATAAATATGGGAGTGGGAATGGGGTACATGTGCTGTCTATAAGCATGCTCAGCTTAGGGAAATTCCCCATGTGGTAGAGGTGAGAGATCCTGCTTCTGGAAAAGTTCTGATGATGTAAAATAGAAATGTCTCAGAGAGACTGTGGAGAATGTGTAGATATTCTGTAACTGATTTTGGTCTGCTAATTACATGGTTAAGGGAAGCCTTTATTTTTAATTGGCTGCATAGCCACAATTCTTGGTGTATTCTAAAACGGTTGGGTCAGCCTCTGCTTAGTCTTTTTGTATCAATCTCTTGGCTATGGGACTGGTTGGACTCCTTCACTGGTGGCATCTGGTGAGACACAATGCTTTAAATGTAGAGGACTTTGGAGGCTGAAATTTACCCTCTTAAATGGGCTTTGGTCCTCGGCCAATGAGTTTCTTCTTTCCCTTCTAAGTAAAGGGATTGGAGCTTCCAATCTTGTGAGTTTTTAATTATCAGAAGAAAAGTGTCTATATATCCCGGGATCATAGCATCCTAGCTTTGTAGCCAGCTCAACAGCAATCCTCAGATGAGCATGACTGACTTTCAGGAATGACCTTTGGGAGCTAATATAGTAGTAGCTGAGATGAAGACTCATCTAAGAGCAATTCTACTTTTGTACATTACTTTGGTGTACCAATTCTATGTAGGAACTGAGCTAAATTTGAGCTTCCTCTTCCCAGAGATTAATATTGTATAGGTGAAAATGTGTCCCCAAGTATTGGGAGGAAACATTGATATCTCAATTATTGTTCTATCTTTGAAGTAAATATCCCTTTCTAAAAGCTAATGTTAAGTTGTTAAATTGAACTGCAATGCTATTCACTGACAATTAGCAATGAGAGAAACAAGGATGGTGGGGATTCCAGTTAATAATATTAGAGAAGAGACACTCCTGCCCCCAACCTCTCAAGGAACACTTGGATACTAAGGGGAAGATGTATCCTATATGGCCCTATGGTACTGGGCCAGAGACACTTTCTACTTAAATACATACATATATATATGTGCATATATGTATATATAGTTGAATAATCAGTCCCTCAGTCAATCAACAAACATTTATTAAGCACCAACTATATGCCAGACCCTATATTTCCCTCTTCTCAAGGAGCTTGTATTCTAACGGGGAAGAGAGCATACAAAAAAAAAAAACTATATATCTACAAGATAAATACTGTGTAAATATAAGATAATCTTAGAAGAAACTCACTTGGGAAGGGGGAGGAAGGAATACAAGTTCTCTTGAAGAAGAGGAAATGGGCTGCATGTTGAAAGAAGCCAAGGAAGCTAGGAGTTGGAAATGAGGCAGGGGGTGGGGGGGGCACTCCAGGCATAAGGAACAGAAAGTGAAAAGCTGAAGTGTTATGTATGGGGAACACCAAGTGTGCCAATGTATCTAGATCATAGAGTATATGGTGGGTAGTAGAGGATCGTAATAGTCCAGGTATGAGGTGATGAGGAACTATACAATGGGAGCAGCTGTGCCAGTGGAGAGAAAGGGGCATGTAAGAGAAATGATATGAAAGTAAAAATGACAAGATTTGACAACAAATTGAATATATTGGGTGAGGGCCAATAAGTAATTAAAGATGATACCAAGATTTTACTTACTAGTGACTAGAAGGATGGTAGTGGCCTTAACAGTAATAAGGAAGTTGGAGAAAGAGGAATGTTTTCAGGGCAAGAAAATGTGTTCTCTTTTGAACATATTTAGTTTGAAATGATAGAGTGACATCCAAATTGAAATGTCCAAAACACAGTTGGTGGTATGGGACTGAAGTTCAACAGAGTGATTAGGGCTGAAATAAAGATCTGGGTATTATCTGCATAAAGACAATGGAAAATAATTTGTGTTGCAAAGAGAATGGGAGAAGACAATGATTAAATTGTACTTTCCTTCATTAGCTGGATTATTTGTTAATCGGTAGAATATGTTAGTTTTACATTTATGGGATTAATAGCTGATACAAAATAATTACAATTGTTTTTCAGTAACTATAAACATATAGGGCAGCAAAGTAAATTAAGGAAAACAAATCTTCTAAATCTTCTAAACAACTAATTTTTACTATAAATAACTCAAAATTATATTTATAGATTTTCTTTCATTCAATTTTTTTCTGCAAATTTTAGGAATATGTATACTTCCCTTGTTTTTTTATCTGAAGATTGATAAGTACTCCAATTTTATAATCAAATAAGCTCTGTCATCATTCCTGGAAAGGGTATGCCAACCTATTGTCCTAAGACTCCTTATGACTTTACCTTCTCTGTAACATTGAGACCAAAATATTGGTCCCTGGCCACCACTCCTTTATATGCATTTTTCTCTCCATCAGAATGTAACTTCCTTCAGTTTAGGTATTATCAGCTTTTGAATTTGTATCCCAAGCACTTAGCTTAGTGCTTAGCACACAGGAAACATTTTATAAATATTTTTCATATATTCATTAACTTAAT